AAAAAAGGAAAAAAGACAGAAAAATATAGATTTAGTCTGAGATAAAGTAGACTTCGCATACCTCCAAACACCAGGGAAATACTCTCTCGCTTTCTTGTACAAACAAGACCAATTCCATTGCGCAGCAAAAGACCGCAGACAAAAACTCCTCCTTCCGCAACAGACCCTGAACCCTGATTCACATAACTACGTCTCCATTGTAGGTCGACTTTCAAACTACCTCAAGATCCCTATCAGGATTACGTTTTCTCTCTTCCAGAACTATTTTCTCCACAAGAACAAAGAAGAGTGTTGTGATTGCTTCTCTGTGTTCTTCTGGAGCTTGCGATATTGCGGGGTCATAGAGATCCTCTTTGTCGGTACACTCAGACGTCACGCGCTCGACGAATCTGAAAATCCCAGCTCCAAGGAAAAATCACGATGCAGTTATCTACCTCACCTCTCCCCCATCATGTCGGCACTTAACGTGATGAGCGAAACAGGATTGTCCCTCATTTGTAGGCAAACTCGTTGCAATGATGATCCTTCCAATTTAAAATCACTGGGAACAAGAGGATTCAATTTCTGAGACGGACTGGCTGTTGTATCCGTTTGTGTCATTGGACAAAGTGGCCTTAGTTGTTGTGAGGAGATTATGTAGCTGAAACAACCGTTGCAAATATGCCTTTGCAAATGGATGCATGCAAACCTTTTGGCATCGCTTCTAGATGGAGGTCGCTTCACATCGGCCAGCTTTTCCAAACAATTCTAAATTCAAGCGTATATTTATGTACGCGCGCATGAATTAGGCTAGCGTATTTTACACCAGCGCAGAACCCCAAAGGTCCGGACAAGTAGTTTGAGATTTTGTGCTTATCAGGTCTATTCGTTATGCTGAATCCGAAAATCCAAATTGGATAGCGCGAAAGTAGCAAACAGCACAACGGCACGGTGAAGAGCTTAACCCAGGAGGAAAAAATCAGCAGATGGATCTTCCTCACTGTGAATTCACGCTCCCAACTTCCGGAGCGATCTACTCGGTTCCGCTTCCGAGCCACGCGTCCGCACTTGGCCGGTGGCGATGTCAGAGGTTAGCGGAATCGAAAAGGTCGCTCTGGAAGCTGGGAGCGTGAGTTCAAAGTAGAAAAGACCCCACCACCTGCTGATTTCCCCCCAGGTTATAGCCTTTTTCGCCAATTTCGCGCCCTTCTTTTAGGTTTTTCCAGCTTAGCAGATGCCCAGGTAAGCACAAAATCTCAAACTCGATTCATGCCCGAACACTACCTTTACTCCACTGTCACCTTCACTACGAAACTGAAGTGGTATGATAGGACTATGTCTTCCGTAAATGGATATCA